GGCACTTAAATGTTAAGAAAATATTTGTAATCAAGAGAATCAATAAATTTTGGCTAAATTTATTAAAACGCTCACCTTAAAAATTATAAATAGACCATCATTCCTTACTTAAAGTGCAGAGAAAATAGAAGAGAACAAGCATACTACTAAAACTTTATTATTGAAGTCCCGACAGTTGTTGTCGATCAATAAAGTTCGTCATCCGCCATCATGGTTCACCACCAATCATCAAAAGTCGTCACAACTATCACCAACAATTATTACAACCAACTACGACCTACGAGTGTTATAGCCACCAACTACAATTATTGTATTTCTAACTAATCATATAATGTTGTACTTGTTATTTCGCAGATGTAAGTTCAATATAATCTTGCAAATTCATCTTCACTGATTCAAGAGAAGAGCGATCACCTTTACTTTGACTATTTTGATTGGGTTGAGTCCCACAATTTTTTCTTTTTATCGATTTTTCTATTTTTTTGCTCTCAGAATTTTCTAGCATGCGACAAAGCTTAAATTTTTTTTACATAATAAATATCAATAATAATGATAATGAGTATATACGTACCCTAAATTTTTAAATTACAAAAAAAAAAAATAGATTTTTTTAGTATATACATAACCAAAAGAAATTTCTCCACATTTTATATGTTTTCATTTATAATAACAAAATATATTTTAATTATATATGCTATGTATAATTTATTAAATTTAGGATAAATTATTTTGCATACTCTTAACATAAATACTGATTGGAAGCTTAGCTCGATCCAAATCAAATGTTGAAATAAAGTATTATAACTTGAACAAATAATTGAACTGATTCGATCATGGCATGATTCTCAATTCATATTAGATATTCGAGCTAGATTCGGAGCACCGTCCATAGTACTAACTCCATTAAGGAATAGCTTTACCGTAGAGTCCTCGTTGATCATGTGTTGCCCCTTGCTTGTACAAGTCGGAGCACATTCTGGTTTTACCCAATAATAATAAATAAATTAGAAAGAGAGGGACAGGGAGTACATTTTAGTGTACATTCGGGAAAAAATATTGTGTATTTGGACAAGGGTCACTAGATGGGCTGCGTGTGAAATTGGGTGGTCGCATCCGAGCCGTTATCCAGACATGTAGATTTCTGCACTCTTTTTATTTTCTTTATTTATTTATTTGAGGAGCCATTTTGGTTAGGGTTGTGCAGTGTGCATTGGATTATTTGTCCATTGATTTGGTTTGATGTTTGAAAAGACGATTCGGTATTTGCTTTTAAATCCCCAAACTTTGGTTTATTGGTTACAGTTCGGTTTTTAAAAAAAAGAAATTGATTAATCGAAAACCGAGTATTAAGGGCAAAGCAACGGAACTAGCGAAGACCAAAATCTTATTCGGGCTCGATACTTCAGTAAAAGACCGAAATTATTTACTTAGAGAGACTGGAGAGTTAGGCTTCACTCTCCATTCTGATTCAAAGAAGCTGTCAAGCAGCTTGCAGCCCTGCGCTGCTCGATTTGCCCCCAGTACTGAATGTTTCATGCTCTGTGACCTCTATCGCTGGTTGGCTAGCTCGCCTCGATTAAGAGGTTCATTTCCTCTTTGGTGTAAGGGTGAATGTAAGGGTTGTAAGGCCCATGCAGAGGTATCAAGACTCAATGGTTAAAATGAGAAAGCGGGGAGGCCTGAAAAGTCATAGTCCTTTTGGTCTTGGATAACTCAATTCGGAACCCCTAGTATTTCCAAACGCTTGGCTTCACGTTATTGATTTAAAAATTTAGGGAGAAAATATATGATGATTGAAAAATTTAGAAGACATAATTGTGGGAGAGAAGACATTGCTAGCAGAACAGATTTAGAAAATGTTTAGCCGAAGATTATGAAACTATACAAGAAGAGTTTGATATTTTGCCATGGCGGAAGGTTAATGCACTGCAATTTCCATTCCTCTCTCAAATGGTTAGAGATGTCTTAGCAGTTCCAATATCAACAGTGGCATCTGAAGCTACATTTAACACAAGTGGTCATGTTCTTTATGCTTTTAGGAGTTCCTTATCTCCCAAAGTTGTGCAAGCTCTAGTTTGCACTAAAGATTGGCTAAGAGCAAAATGGACAAGTGAGTCTACCAATGTTTAAGAGAATATTCGTGGTGTGGATAAATTTGATGAAGGTATCATGCTTATTTTGGTTATGTTCTTATCATGTTTTATTTGAAAATTAACACTAACTCTGCTTCTTTATTATCTATTATATATTTATCGAAGATTACAAATGTTCTTCACTTTGGTAAGGTATTGATTGTTTGAGAGGATAGAGGATTTTGTTGGACTATTTTGTGCACTGCTCATTGTTGTTTTTTTTGCCATATTTGTGGAAGATTTTGTTCTTTTTGCTATATTTGCTATTAAGTGTTGATCACTTCATTTATTGTTGAGGCTGGCAATTTTCCCAATATGCATTGGATTATTTATCAGGTTTAATTATTAGTCACAATATGCATTTGATTATGTAATGGTGTTGTTTGGTTGATGTATTTTGGTGAGGTTGATAGTTTTTCTAGTACGGTGGGTTGAATACTTACATTAATAACTTATAGTTCTGGAGCAGTGCATTTATTGCTTGAAGGTTTATTCTTGAAAATTTTTTAAGCAGTGCATTTTTTCTGGAGCAGTGCATTATATTTACTTAACCATTTAATATTGTTTTGATGGAGCATGTGCATAAATGTTGGTGCTTTGGGTTTGGTTTTGTTTGCAGGGCATTTCTGTCACTGTTCCTCTCATCTCCTGATTACCTTCATGTCATTTATTTGTCTTTTTGATTCGTGATGGAGCTTGGCTTTATCTCTCCTGCTAGTTCATGGTTGTTGGATTTGTAGTTTGTGAATGTGGGTTGCTTGGCTTACTTGTTTTATGAGCTTTGGTTTTTGCCAAATGTAGTTGTTGGGGGTAATTCGGTTGTTACATAATGTTGTCATATTATCCACTGGATTTTTTGGTACTTCCCATCTTTTCTTATGACTATTGCTTGGTTGAATAATCCATGCAAACATTAATAAACTTATAGCTCCTTCTAATGAAGCACCAAGATACTGTTTGGCTATTGTTTGGTTAAATGAACTTATAGCTCATTCTTGAAGGTCTAATAAAGCATAATTTTTAGAAACATGTCCACAACATGCATTATGAGTAAATTGCTTGATTTGATAGATTCTTTGGTTTGATATAACATAACTTTAGCACAACCATTATTTAGCTGATGCATTAAGAAGATGACTTTGGCATTAAATCAAGCACATAACCTGCATATGTTGGCATGTATTTCTCTGTATTGCTGCCTGTTGGGACCTATACGATTATGCCTATACATTTGAATCTATAAGATTTCTACTTTCCAGAGCAGTGTATCATGTTATATGCTATTTACAAAAGCCTTCATTTCTAGGAGATTTTTACTGCTTCTTTTCTTATTTGGATAAAATTAATGATGTTGGTATTCTGCTATTGGAGTGTTTTGTAACTTTTGTTCCTCTGTTGGTTGGAAATGGTTTTCGGGCTGCTTACAAACAACAGAGTATGGAATTGGAATTTAACCAGACAATGATTTTCATGTCCTGGATGGAATTTCTGATCTCGTTCCTCCTCATGGCATTTCGGAGAGCAATGATGAGATCTACAAAAATAACGATGTGCTTAACCAGCATACCTACACGAATGATGCTTGGATGTCTTTATTTGGACAATTACGTCTTAGTCTTACGTCTCCGACTTGTTGGTGCTCTATTTATTTTAGATTATGAAATTGCGTGGATGGAGCATTTCATTGAGACCATTGTATAGTCTAAGCTCTCTCTATCCCCCTGGATAGATTTGAATTTTAGCATTTGCTTTCCTTTGCCCTTTGTTGTATTTTCTCTTTTCGTTGAGACCATTGTATAACAAAAATAAACAATAATTATAAGTTGGTGCCTCTAAAGAACAAGTTAGATGTGATGTTGATGAGGCTCAACTAGAAGGAATCAAGGAAAACAAATGAGTTAAAGAGAAAACTCCTGACTGTGCTTAAAATTACGTGCAACTTTCTTGTATTATTAAAAATTTATGGTTCATGTAACCTATTTATGCACTTTTTAAAGCTTGTTCAATGTTGTATCATACCTCTTTTTCTTTGGGTTGTAAATTAAGTTGTAACCAAATTATTTTTATCAATTGAATATTACTTGTTTTAACTAGGTTGCTTTTCTATGTTTTTTTATTTTTTATTTTTTACATATCAAATACATATATTTCAATTTATCAAAAACTGAACCGTTTGAACAAAATAAAATTTTAATTTGACTGAATCGATTCTAAAAAAAAATTTTTTTTGGTTTGGTAGTTTGGTTTTTGGATTAGATTAAGGTCAATTGGCTAATTTGTAAAATTGATGCATTAGAACCGACCGAATGCATACCCCTAATTTTGATATTTTAGAGGAAGATCACATCATTGAGGGAGTGAAAGGCTTTGTGCTTCTCATTCTCTTGGGCCCTTCAGATTTGATAATGCCCATATAAGGTTGAAGAGAAGTCATGTTTGTGAACCTTCGGCTTTTGTTCTATACTTAGAGAAGAAGCAACTGTGTGAAAAGATATAGTTAGTCCACAATTCCTATGAAGAGAATTAAAATATTTTGATGTACAACTCATTTTAGTGTAATTGTCTTCCATTGCCTCAATTATAAAGCCTCAAGTTCACCACGTATTATATATATGCACGCAGCAGTCAGTATGTGTTCCCGATTAGTTAGCCTTCAAATATTCTCAAGAAAATTTTGTATTAAAATATTTTTTAACAAATTTATTACAGTATTATTTTAATTACTAAATTCATTTTATAATATGTGGGATGTGATATATAAATAATTAATACTATATAATCTCACAGTTCATTGAAAATACTTGAGATCTATATTATGATCAAAATCTTAATCAGCTTATCAAACAATATAATATCTCATTAGTCAGCTAACAATGCAATTTCAGATAACAATAATAATATCAACTTCATTTACAGCATTCTTCAGCATTACAATAAAGAATGAATTCCTCCACCGTAAAAACTGGAACCAAATTCTTTACAAGCATTCAATAGACTCTGATGCACAGGGTGAGGTCGAGCACTTACAGAGATGACCCCTCTCAGCTCATGCAGCAGCTTCGTTAAGGTTCTGCTATTGATGTGATGAGTATTCTTCTCTAGTAGATTCAGCCATGATTTCTCAGAGAAGGCTTCGGTTTCCATGTCTTGATGAATGGTGATGAACGAAACAGCAGATCCAGGGTCGTCTTCCTGCAGCTTCATGGAGAAGAGTTCTTTGATGATAGGAGGCGGCGGGACGCGGCCATTAATGGTTAAGTGTTCCCATGTGATCTCCAATATGCTCTTCTGAGAGATTGATGGCGTGTAATAGAGGGAAAAAAAAAATAATGCTTAGTAATACATTAAAGGAAAATTTACATACATACATACCACACAGTTCAAATGTGTTTACATATCTCAAACCTAATGTTTGATATTTTGGTTTATAATGCTTTGGTGCCATAAACTTATACATGAAAGCGTGCATTTCACGTATAAAGATAATTGTGGTATTTTCATGTGAAGTTACAGTTTTGGGTGTTATAAGAGTAAATATATAAGTTTAAGTGTTGGATATGTAAATACATAAGCATTGTGTTAAAATAGTAATAATGCAGGCCTAAATAGGGTAATATGGTCCCTCTTTTAAAATCATTTGCAAAGATCTCTACTGCAACTGAAAAATAAAAGCAAGTTGATCAGCTTAGCAGTCAAGATTAGGAACTGTTTTGTCATGCCATCTATACTAGATACAAATTAATGCATCATTATACATATTTTTAATAATTTTAATATTTCTGACTGATTTTATAACATTAGAATGATAAAAAAGACATAAAACTTTACATATTTGCCAATCGCTTGATGCCTTTTGCCAGTCATTGTAAGTTCGGGTTATCACATGTTTGATGAGCATTCTCATTTTCTGCACCGCTCAAGCATGTATATATAAACATATAGGAAGATTTACATAAAGGCAACTTAATTCCTATGTATTTACATATCTAATACCTAAACTACAATTTTTACACATATGTCATATCATCTAAGCTTGAAAAGATGTATTTCACATTTAAAGAGTTAAAATAGTGATATTTTCATGTCATATCATCTATGCTTGAAAAGATTTATTTCACATTTAAAGAGTTAAAATAGTGATATTTTTTATGTGATATGAAACATTTGGTGGTACAAATATAAAAAAAGTAAAGTTTAGGCAGTAGATATGTAAATACATAAGATTGGGTGATATGTATGTAAATGCCCAAAATATATATGTGAGGAGGATGAAATCATCTCTTCCTAGGATAGACATTTTCCACCAAATTTTATTTGGAAATCATAATTGAAAGCTTCCATTCTCTTCAATATCAACAGTAGCGGCACATAAGCTTCAAAAGGATTTTAAGATTATTTCATCATAAATTGGGCACAACTAAATTTTTGTTGAATCGTTTAACTCAACTCTCATTTTGAATTTGCAAAAATTCTCATTTCTAGAATTAAAAAACTTCAAACCAAGAAAATTCAAAGAAATCTAGCAAAAAACTTGCAAATATCATAAATTGCACACAACTTTGCAAAAGTAAAGCTAAGCAGCGAAAATATAAGATTACCTTTCCAGCCCGCCAAGCATCAAATACCAGACGCATATGTCGTTTTTCATCAAAGTGATAGCCATGACGAATCATCTCTCGAAAAAAATCCTCAAAATCATCCCACTTACTTGCCGCAGCACACGCTTCCATCATCGTGTTGAACGTAAATTTATCAGGGAAAACCTTTCGACTGAACTCATCTTCTCCATTAATCTCATGGCTATCAGACAATATTCTCTGAAAAAGACTTTTCGCTTCTTCAAACATCCCGTGCTGTATGTATGATTTCAGCATGATGTTGAAGGTGATCACATTTGGTGAACAGAAACTATTCATTTGGTTGAAAATATATGTAGCATTTTCAATACTTCCCGACTCAACGCAAGCTTGAATAAGACCAGTGTATGTCACCACCAACGGCTTCTTTGCAACCTTGGATATTTTTTTAATCTGTCAAAAAAGATTTTTTCCTTAGCTAAGCTTCTTCTCAGATAGAAATTATTGCAAGCATTAAAAATAAGAGCAATCAATTAAACATTCCTTAACGATTTTGATACTAAATCTATTCATTAAGATATTAAATAAGTATATATTATTGATTGGGATAGTTATATCTTTGTCGAAATAATTATTAAGAAATTATATAATTTATTAAAAGATAAATAGCATAATTAATTAGTCAATGATTGATGCTTAGGATAAAAAATATTTTAATTATTACTTTAGTTAGGAATTTTGCTAATCAATTGAATATTAGTTAATTGATAAAAGGCAATCTAACTATTGATGCAGTAAAAATAAAAGGGAGGCATTTACATACAAACCACCTGATTCTTATATATTTGCATATATAACACCTAAACTTTCATTTTTTACATAAATATTACTCAAATCTTTCACATCACATCAAAAATATAACAATCACAAATTTTTTAGAAGTGAAATTCACCTTTTCATGCATAGTTTCTTAATACCAACATGTTATAAATAAAAATATCAAACTTTAGGTGTTATACATGTAAAATGTGAATCATAATTTTTGGTCATGTAAGTAAATTTTCCAAAAAAAAAAAAAAAAACAATTAATTAGTATTAGTTAACTATTTAAATAAATAATTATTAAAAAATTAAATGCTAGAATAATAAAATTTTCTGGTTTGACAAACATTCAACAACAATTTTGTTAGTAGATTATTGAGGACAATAAGTTATTCATTTATAATTGCTATAAGAATATGCTGGTTACTCATGCGTTCATTAATTAATAAAATTAATTTAAGCATTAATAAACTTTCAGGATATTAAACTACTTTTATAATTTTTAATTAACTTGGTATTAATATCACAATAGTGTTTATCAAATAATTTCATCTTTTAACAACAATTTTAACATCAATTCACCGAAATATTTCATTTTACACAGAAGGTATGCATAGTACAGAAAAACATATTCAATTATAGCTTGAATATGAGCTTAAAAGGCGCAAACCTGATGAAGAGCTTCGTCACATCTTCCTGCACTGCAGAGACAGCGAGCGAGGTCATAATACAGACTAGCAGAGCCAACTATTCCACGTCTTTCCATATCTTTTACGGCCTGTACAGCCTCATCGGCATTGCCTTCTCTCCAAAAAGTATTCACAAGAACTGAAGACAAATGAGTTGTCAGTGACAATAAAAAATTTAGATGTTATATAATTTTAAGTTAGTCTCATACCTTTGTAATTCAAAGCACCAGGAATGGAGTTCTTCTGCAATTTCCTAAAGAACTCGTGAACCAAGTTGTATTTGCCACATGCAAGCATCACCTGTTGAGAATAATTGTTTGATACAATTCCCTAAAGTGGAGCCTAAAGTGGAGTATGTTATAATTAGTAGAAATGGATTCCTTCAACTAAGTGGATAAAATTGAATTTAGCAGAAATAACTGCAGAAAAGAAGTGGTTAAGAAAGTTTGGACTGCTCATCCTTTCAATGAGTATTTATACAGAGAATTGCATAAAAACAAAAATCAAATAATAATTACAATGACAAAAAACACAAAAAACCACCTTAAGAAATATGAAATATTAAATTATAGTAAGAGATTTCACACTTTGAAATTCGAACGTGTTGATAAGTCCACAGTTTGAAATATATTTCCTATTTTTTGGGAACTTTTTTTGGTGAATTTTAACTTTTTCTTGAAATGTTAAATAATGATAAGTAATTAAAATATTAATTTATTGTTAAACATATTTTAACTAATATGGAGAATAATACACTAGTGAGTATTCTTTTGTCATCTTAGATTTGCAAGAGCGTGTTAGAGTTAACTGAGTTTTGAGGTTATATGATATGTGAAGAGTCCTTTAATTCCTAATATTGGTTTTCATAATCCAATTAAATGATCTAAATATGTTATATGATTAATGCTCTTAATTTGTTTCATTAATATATTATGAGTCAGACTTGAACTGCATGATGCATATATTAAATTGTTATCAAATGCATACTCTCAAATTGACATATTAATTGCTTCAAATCATTCTATAAGCTTGCACTGTAAAGGCATTTTAAATCCTTACTCTGGAACACTGTTTTATGAGATAAAATTCCCTCTGAGCCACCACTTATTGATCATCATTTTGTCATTTTAGTTGGTGTGTCTGAAGTTTCGCATGGTTGAACTTTTTTTGTAATAAATGTGACATAATGTTTACATATGCTTTCATGTTTTCATTGTTTATATATGTTCGGCTGTGATTTATTAGACTTGTAGATCTAGACGCATGCACACATACATTCCTAATTGTTATACGGAAGATTCACATATATGCCATTTGATTGCTATATATTTACATATTTAACATATAAACTTCAATTTTTTACATAAAGGCTACCTTACCTTTGTAAGAAAAGTGTATTTAATATTTTAAAAGTCAAAAGCATGGTAGTTTTGCTGTGATATAAAAGATTTGGAAGGTATAACTGTAAAAATAAAGTTTAGGTGTTAGATTTGTAAATACATAGGAATTAGGTGTTACATATTTAAATGCCTTATGTTATATCATAATTAAGCCATCTGTTGAGTCATAAACTAAACCTTATATTAATGAATATTTTTTGACAGGTCATTTTGAACTGAAAAGAGAGCCAAGGAAAGATGAAGGGTAAGTGGCACAGTTCTAGGGTTCCTAGAAGGAGAGATGTAACTCTAGAACTGTGTGATGGAGCACCAAAAGGCATTAGGAAAGTTCTGGACGGGATAATAGGAGTGGGAGGAAAAATGACGACTGAAACTCGGGTTGAGTGAGGACTAGACAGCAACCCGGCAGCAAGAAAGCTGCACTTTCCTTATAGAACAGGTTCAGTGGCAGTCTGGCTGAAAACAGCGAGCGAACGAAAAATCGGCGAGTTGCAGGCTATGAGGTAGTTTCATTACCTGTTCTTAGGCAAGCTACGGAAGCACCACTTGTAAAAAGATGTTACAGTACTGTGGAGAGCAAAATTCAGAGAGAAATCTGTCAAATGCATAAACTCAGCAAAAACTAAGTCCCAAACAGCCAAAACGCCAAATATATAAGAGCTCACTAATAAGGAATAACCTAAATTTGACAATAAAGAAAAATGAAAGGAAACAAGAAAGCAATAAATGAAATCAACTGAAAAAGGAACTGCCTGGTTTGGTGCAACCAATCCCGCGATATGGGAGTCCTGTATTCGCATGATCCGCTGCTTGGGAGACGCTGCCTCGCCGCAATTATGTGCCTAACATCACTCTCCCCGGGTAAGAGAGGCTTCATCCTCGTCTCCGAAAACATCCAGGCAATGGTAATATGGCAACAAATCATCAATATTAATCTATCTGAGAGTGGGCTGCTAAAGAGAAATAAAGCTTTGTGTCTAATTTGTCCCATAAAGTCCTCCAAAAGGGGCAGAGAATTTCACATCCCTATCCGAGGTGATGCTATAGTTATCCCATGAAGATGAACAACTTTCTTGAAGTATAAGTTTGCAATATGTGACACGACCATTGTCTTATAGTAAGGGACAAAGTGTTTCATCTTAGAAAAATTATCTGCCACAATCATAATAGAATCTTTACTCCGTTGTGTCTGGGGTAAGCCCACCACAAAGTCCATGTTCGCGTCCAACTAATGTGCCTCTAGAACATAAAGGGAAGTGTAAATACTTGTTTTTTGCCCTTTAGCCTTAGCCAAATGGCATACCCTCCACTATCTGACGAGTCTCTCCATGTTTTGTACCAATTTGGGCCAATAAAAATTCTTTTTCACTAAGGAGAGAGTTTTGACTGCCAAAATGTCATGTCATCCCCCACTAGCACTTCAATAAGATATTCTCTCTAAGTGAACGTCAAGGAATGCACAATCTATTCTAAAAGAACAGGTATCCATCAAATTTGTAATATTGCTCGTATAGCACATCCTAACATTGTATCCAAATATCCTGAAAATCCTTGTTAGCTGCATACAAGTCTTTCAACACCTCAAAACTAACCTTCAACTTATAGTGGCGATGACTTAGAGCATTGATTATTATATTCTCACTCACTATTTAATGTTTGAGTAGAAAATGGGATGAGAGAAGAAACTTCACTGATAAGGCGTGTGAGACCTTTAACTTATTCTGACCATTCAAGAATCTTAGGGCCTCGTAGTCAGTGTAAAGATTAAATTCATTTGTCAGCAAATAATGACTCCAGTGACTAAAAGCTGTCAAAATAACATGAAACTCCTTGTCATAGATAGAGTACATTCTCCTAGAATCATTCAATTTTTCACTAAAGAAAGCAATCAGATGCCCTCCTTGACTTAGCATAACTCCAATTCCCATATTAGAGGTATCATAGTCCTCACACACTAGATTAAAATCTAGAAGTGCGAGAACGGGAACTTTAGTCACATGTTTCTTCAAAACTAGCATGAGCATCATCTGACTATGCAAATTTATCTAACTTTAAAAACTCCGTCAAAGGTGCAGCAATCGAGCTGAAATTCCTAATAAACCTCTTGTAAAAAGAAGTCAGACCATGAAACGGGTATACTTGAGTAAATGACTGAGGTTTGGGCAAGGCTTCAATAGCCTCGATCTTTGTTGGGTTCATCTCAATGTCATCAAATGAAACAATGTATCAAAAAAAACATGTTTGTAGTGTAAGAAAATGACACTTTTTGAATGGCAAATTAGTTAATGTATCCAAAGAGCCTCAAAAAACTTATCTTAAATGTTGTAAGTGCTCCTCTGAACTGTTGTACACCAATATCATCACATACACAACCACAATTTTTTTAATGATGGCTCTAATGACCTAATGACCCGGTTCATTAGCCGCATGAAAATATTCGGGGCATTAAATATCCCAAAGTGTATGATTGTCTACACATACAATCCATCTAGTGCCTTAAAAGTTGTTTTCCCCCTGGTCTCATATTGAGCTAGTGGTAGCCATTTCGCAAATCAATCTTAGAGAAAAAACTAGCTCCATGTAACTGATCAAACAAATCATCCAATCTCGGAATAAGGAATTTGTACTTGATTGTGATCTTATTTACAACCATGCTATCGATACACATACATCATGATCCATCATTTTTTAGCACAATCAAATTTGGCACAAAATAGAGACTGATGCTCTCACAAACTCGTCCCTGAGCCATCAGATCCTCCACCTACTTCTATAGCTCCTCATACTCTATTGGTAGCATCGGGTAGGCTAGTCAGTTGGGGAGCACTGATCCTGGGATAAGGTCTATAGCAAGCTAGATCTCTCCCAAGGGTGATAATTCATGTGACATGTCCGTCAGAACATCTTGAAACTCTGCTAGCAAGGGTCACACTGCCTCAGATATTAGCTCCTCTGTACCACTGCCTTCTAGCATCACTAAGGCCAAGCCCACTAGTGCCTCTCTCATAGCCTGTAAAAATGAGGCACAAAATATGATTGCTCCTCCCTTTGTTAGAGTACTCATCAATCCTGACTTCTTTAATGGTACAAGTACAATACATTTCTCGTTTTTTGTTGAATATGTATATATTTTTATGGTTATCATGAAGTATACCTCTATCGTACTGCCATGGTCGACCCAACACAATATGGCATACATCCTGCATCCATAGAGATCACATCATACCAAACATCCCCGGTCAACAGAAATCTATTTTCTTCTTCAACCAAGTTAGGGAGTATGGCTGGGAATGTTTTTGTGTAGTGAGGCTCAGTTTATCCACCACCTGCGTAGATACCACATTTTTATAACTGCTTCCATTTATGATAAGGTTGCACGTTCCCTTCATAGTACAACGGATTTGGAAGATGTTATGCATGAGCCATTGTTGATCCCTCTTAGGCTCAATTCAGAAAATGCATCGAACCACAAGCATCTCACCATCATCTGCAAGTAGTCGGATACTTCTCATCATTATCCCACTTTGGGTCTTCACTCTTTGTCTCCTCCACCGCACCCTACTCGATAAAAGAAATCACCCTCATGTTCGGAAGAAATGTATCAAAATTCATGACATCTAAAATATTTCCTAGTTGGGAATGTCTTGGGGGAGTTGGCCTAGTCAGTCCTCTTTTCCTCCTGTGTTGGCTTCTCTTCATGCAAGGTATGTCTGGGTACTCTTGTTGGCGTGCTCTTGAAGGGGTGTGGACCTAATGTTGTGGTGTTGTTTCTCTACCTCAAGGAAAGGGCATGAACATTTTGTAATGTTTAGTCGGGCTGTAGTTGGACCACGATGCCAATAGACCATCCCTAAAGATAGCAGGCTATGGTGATCTCATCGGGCTCTATTAACTTACACT